TATCATTTTCAATGATACTTTTTGTGATAATCGAAAAATTCAACATGGAATTCCCAACTTTTGAAATAAAATTATTAATATGCACCAAAATAATATCATTTTTTTCAAACATTTCTTACTAAATTATTTCAGATATCCTTTAATATGATTTTTACACTGTAATATACTATATTAGATTGTTAAGAAATTAATAATATGCTTTTCTTTGCATTGAAAGTAAATACAATATAAAAATTAATATTATTCGTTAACTATTGAACAAAGTATTCTAACAAACTACTAGTCTACATTTAAAAAAGTTCACAAATAGCAAGAAAGTAATTAGCACTTTAGCTTCAATGTTATCCGCAATTTTAGCTTTTCTTCAGAATGAATGAAAGTTCTGCACATTCTAGTATACCTAAATTTCGAACAAAAGCTTCAGCAATACTTTTCTTTGTAAAAATATATAATTACTTCGCAAAGTAATGATTCCACAGTCAATAGTCACAAATTCTGATGGATAAAAATGAACATATTGTCTGTTAAAACAGCTCTGCTCAGTATTTTTCTTGAAATTCCAGTTGGGGTTAGTTCAAAAATAGAGAGAATCTCAATTTTACGCCTTGAATGCTTACATTCATTTTAATGTCAGAATCTCGTCTAAAATACACGTTACGCTATTTTAGTTCTCCGAAGTCAACTTATGAAAATTAATAACTACTCGACAATGATGAATCTGTGACACACCAGAGCAGTACAACATGCCCAATTAAGTGCGGAACACCCAGATATCCTAATATACCACTTTATTGGCTAATATTACATATGTTTTTAGTAACTAATTAAAAAATTAAAATTTTGTTTTTATTCTAATTTGCATATTACAAAATCAGCATTAGTAAAAAACAAAACCAGTTCAATTCCAAATGAATATTAATTAATCAATCTAAAAAACCCTAATACTATCACATTATGTAATAATAAAAACAAGTACAAATTTGCTAATTCTAATAATGATGAATGAAAAACATAAAACCGTGGAATATAATTTTAGTGAGTACTAAAATGACAAAAACTGTAAACCACAAAATGAAAAGAAAGAATATCTTGCATAATAATTATATAATGGAAAATATTTTTTTAGTTAATTAATTGATCATCTATCAGAAGCATTTCTAAAATTATTCTGAATCTTTGATATGAGTTTTTCTGAATCCTTAATATGAATCAAATGCTTTGTTACTTTTGACACATTCTATCTATTTTGTATTTTGAAGTGAAATGGAAATTCAATTCAGTGGCAAATTCTTAGAATGTTAAACTTTTTACACTTCTTTTATGACAGATGAGAATCCAATTTTCGATACAAATATGAATAAATAAACAAAATGGTATAA